ATCTCAGGGAAAAACAATAGCTGAAATTACACACTGCTTTCTTTTGGAAGAAATTAGTGGTTCCCAGCCTTATGCCACTTGCTCATCACTGTGTGGACATGAAATCTGAAAATTTTCATTTCCTTTCTAATCTAAGATTAAAGATTGCCCATTCCCTGTACAAAGCGACAAGATACTAACTTAGCATCATAGGGTGCTAGGTCATTTTCTAACACAAATGGCATTTGGATGAATTCTAATCTGAGGGGGTTTTTTTTCTAAATAGATGTGTTTACTAAATCGTGAGCCAATTTGTAAACACATCTCTGGAATTGTTCTAGGTACTTTTTTTGGTGTCTTGGACTAAATAGGCTGTGCCTAACTAGGGAGATAACTATCCTTCGATTTGTCCACCTGTATGAATGAGATCTGCTGCAAGAATTACCAGGCTGTCTGCAATTTCACAGAGCTTTATTGTTTTCATTTCCAAAATGCATGCAATGTGGACAATGGTACCATCGAACATGAGTCAGTTGAATTGCACAAAGGGGTTTCTTGCCTTCTATAAAATAACACAGCAAAATTATACGCCACTAAATTTTCAAAGCTATGCTATTATTTTATATCATCCAGAGCATTTTGTACTCCTGTAGGAGGTATAGTGTGCTTCCCATGGAAATGACTGATAAGAAATTCAGCGTGAACACTGGCATGTAGTATTCATGAGCAAGGCCTTCAATAATTATGACAATCTTTAAAATAATAAACTCTTTGTTCTTTCTATTGGCCTGCTGGGATTTGAGCCAAGAAGCTTGAAACCTTCATGTCTATTATACATAGAAATGATGGCTGAGAAATAAATTGTCTAAAAAGAATGCATGAACAAATGAAAGAAAGAAAAGCTTGAGCTCTAACAGATGCATTCATGAGTATGAACATTTGGGCATTACAGAAATTATTGAATATCACTATGCCTGTTGGTAAAAAGAAAAAGTCTATAGCATTTAGAATATAATAGATTGGATCTTGATTTAAGCTTAATCCAGCTGCTGGTTTCAGTTAAAATAGGGCCATTGGAATTTATGTGTCTTTTAATTTATTATATTGTTATTGATTCAGTGGGTCTCCAATGAAATCCGAGTTAGGTATAATTTAAGTTAGTCTCATTGAGTTCCACTGTTATTCAATCTGGACAAAACCTTCTTCCCAGGCAATGGCATTGTGTATGTACCTTTCTTTATAAAGTGCACAAGGATTGTGTATCTCCCTCATGAAGTTAACAGCTAAAAAGTTTTTAGCAAATTTGTAATTATTATTTAAAATACTTAAAAGATATCTTGTGATGGGAACATAAGGTTTGGAAAGTATCATATATTAGTATTGACACCGCAGTACTACGTAAGCAGGTAGCTTCCTAACTTCTTTAAGACTTTCATTTTGCCACCCATTTTTCCGCCCCTCCTATGGAGATATATTAATGTAACCACACAAAGCGTGGAAAATTTACCATGAGAGCTGAGAGATTCTTGCAGTTGGAAACCAATAATAAAACTAATAGCAATAAGCAGCAACCACCACAATAACAATAACACAACTTTTCAGATCTCTGCAGTAGGTACCAGGGCAGATGAACCAAACACCCACATGCATGCACAATAGACACAGCTGAAACATCCGTGTATACAGTCAAGCCAATGATAATGGTAAGTATTGTGACAATAATGCTAGCTAGTGCTGTTAGTATACTCATGAGCAGGATTAAGCCTTTTTATATATATCAATGGCTTCAATTTGTTATGACTATAGTCACTCAATGTCTAGAGTGACTGCTTCATGTTCATGATTCCTGTCTATTCAACAGTATAGCAATGGCAATTTTTTAAAATTGAAAATGCAACAATGCACAATAGTTGCATTGGAGAATGACAAATACTATGATAGAGCTAATAGGAATACAGGTCAATATGCATATTAGGCCTGAAGATTTTTGCAATAACAAACATTACTGAAATGTCAATTTCAAATATAAAAAAAATATATTTTCTAACCAACATCCTTTTAGGTTGGCTTTCCTCTTTCATTTTGAAATTTTGTAAAATGCAGCAGCTGCTGAATGAACCTTGCAGGACATAAATCTTTAGCAGCAAGTATCTAATCTCTTTATAGTGGAGAGTTAATACCTCAGACCTGGGGTTTAAGTCAATAAAATATTGGTAGTTGCAGGTACAGGAAGCTTTTCCCCAGTCATTTTGGGTAAGGTAAACATCTCCTCAGTCTGTATACCAACACTGGCTGTAGGATTTATCTCAAGAGACATAGTGGAATGTGGTGCCATGAATAAAACACACTTATCTCTATCAATGTTTTCACTTCTGTATTGCATCCATTTTCATTATTAAATATATCTTTCATTTCATTTGATGAAAAGCACATTATTACTATTTACACATTATCATTACTTTGCTTCATACTTTCATTTTCCTAGCATGTTTGTGTGTGCATTTGTTTCCTCTCCACTTGTTAAAAATGGTTGCATGCATTAACAATTTCCAGAAGGTCCTACTGTTGACCCGTTTATTCTCTCAGAATGCTCTGTCCATTTTTATCATTAAAGGAGGAAATACCAACCACGTAAACTGAACACCACACAAATGGTTGCCATTTTTCCCCCCTAATGCCCACCAACATATAAAGGTTAAACTCGTTCAGCCTCTACCTCTCCTGAAGGATAGATAGATACGTTTTATTGATTGGCCTATTGGCCATATCAAAACATTTAACACATAACACAATTAACACATAGTCATACATAGTCATACATACAACATACAACCCTCGGTATAAAAGGAGTTAAAATAAACAAGCTGTCAACAGGATCTCGTTCAGATCAAATGTCTGCGTCACCTCCACATCTCCTGAAGGAAGAATGAAAACAAAGTGTTTAGTATTCTATGAATGGCTTACTCACATGCATGTCCCCTTTCAGATGGTTCAGAAGACCGTTTGCTTGCCCTTATGCTCCATTCCAAGACCTCATCCCAATGGCTACCAAGCCCCAGGAGAATATGTTGCTGTTGCTTCTTCTTAGAGGGAAGGGAAGTGAGGGGAAGCAATTGAGATACTAAACACATAGTTCCTCTGGCATCCCAGGGGAAGAGAAAAGATGGTGCAAGCCATCTGTGAATGCACACCCTTGTTTCCAACCATACACTCATACGGAGCTGAGTCCAACTGCTACTTCACCTTTACTCTCCCTCCCTTCCCACCAGTATAAGGCAACAGCAACCCCTTCCTGTGTTTTCACAGCTGTACGGTAAGGGACACAAAACTGCAAAGGTCGAACTATGTTGAGATGTACTATCTTAGACATTCACATTCAAATGTTTCTCTGTGCATTTGTTTCAAAATAAAAGAGATTGAATCAGATGGGGCATATTTTCAGGTTTTTTTTCTGAAGCAAACAAATATCCTTCTTTCTGATTTATTCAGTGCTATACTTATGCAGAAAAAAGTTTCTGCAAATTGTATGATTCCATCAAAAGTACAAAAACCACGTGGGAGCATTTTTTTAGGGTTAGTACATAGTAATAGTACATTCAGCAGCCAAGGTACAATTGTTGTAGTGCATTTATATACAATGTGATCCATATATCCACATGGGATACATTCCTGGATTTTGAGTGGATATTTGAAATCATAGATTCTACTGTGAATTCTACTGAAAGTACTTCTGATCCAATGATACCATAGAGTCATGCTGGAAGACCTAGAGAATGCCGAGAGGTGTATCAAAAGTAGAATTTTAATCAGAAATAGGTAAATGAAACCATGGGTACAGATCATGGGCAATAATGTAGTATAGCCTCTGAACATGCTGATCACCTACAGGAGATGCTCTACGTTTGTGTTGTACTATTCCTTTTTTCCACACAAGAAGACAAGTAGAACACAGGTGAAGTGTTGAATGCACATCCACTGTTTAACCAGAACAATTTCTTACAATTTTCCCCTCTACTGCATTATTCTCAGGTTTTTCAACACCATGGGACTAGCTTAAGCAGTTGCTGGCTATTAAGTGCAATATACACAGAAACTGTACTGATAATAGGGCTCAAAAATTTCCACTGGGCCATTCTGTCCCCATTTGTGCTGCCATAAGATACAGTTTGGTCAGTCTAGACTCATACAGTGCATTGAACTGCATGAGACTACACTGACTATACAACCTTGAATCAGGATCATCATTGTGCTCTTTAGATATTAGTGAAGAGAGGGCAAGATCAAGCAAGAAACAGGAGGTAAAATGAAACTTCTTTTCTCATCCTTCCTCCAGAAACTTTCAGTTCTGACATACACAGGTTTGGAACTGTGCATTCTAATTATTTAGATTGAGGGAGGTATGTATCTGGAGCATTGGAAAGATTGAAGATTGTTGTTTCCACTCATGGAATATTTTCCTTTGATACAAATTCTCCTTTATGGTGCTGTTAGGGATCAAGAAGGCCCAGTGTCCCACTCAGTCTTTCTTCCTCATACTCCAATTCAGTTTGGTGGCCTCGACTACTCAAGTTTAGTTTCTTTGAGCCTTGCATAGATGCTTGGGCTAATCTTTGCCCAGTTGAATTTGAAGTTGATAGTCACCAATATTTTGTTTTCATTTGTCTCCTATAAGGTTAAAAACCAATGTATTCTAAGCCAAAATTAATTAGTAGTCCCATGAGAGTAAGCACATTGAATCAATCACTGAATTGTAAATCAATATTTATATGTGATCAATATTTATTCGTGGCCAACTTAGCTGTAATCTAGTTGAGACTACAAATTGAATTTAGGCACCAAGGAGCTCCCCTCCAAATGTGCTGACACCACCACTGTATTTTTAGATAGCCTTATTCCACTACCAGACAAGAACACCTATGTTTACAATGAATGATGGTCCCAGCAGCTGTTGTTGTATCACAAACAACGGTTCAGCAACTAGTATTTGGTGAGGCTACAAAGTACAGAAAACCTTCCACACATTCTTAACATTTAGGCTTCATCCTTTATTAGGTAGTGAATAAGAGACATAAAAAGGATTGTTTGTTGCTTACAGCTGAAGTCTAGGAGAGACTTGTAGGTGAGAGAGAAATGTTTGCATACAGCAGTGGAAATGCCAAAGAAAGAAAGTAAGAAGTTTCAAACAACTGAAGAGAGTATGGACTGGCTGATGGAAAGAGTAGGAAAAACATCTGTGCCATTTGTACTGTGCCTCCATACATGTCACAAGACACATTTGTCAGAACAAATTTATTCATTAGCATTTTGACAGGGTGGTAGCACATCTCCACATCCTAGAAGCTCACACATGTCTTCATCACATTTGCATTTCTGCATATTATTTCATCTGCAAAAAGGTCTTTCCAGGACATCCTGATTTTGGATCACCCCTAATATTTTATGGCTTGGGTCTGACCACAAAGAAAGGCCTATGGGCCCATAAAGATACACCACTAGCATGTATGTGCCAGAGATCTGAGGACATCACCCATATTGCATCTACATTATGAAAAGATAAAACAGATTCCTGGAGCAGATCTTACAGTTGCCATGGAGATACCACCAACAATAGTCTCAATACATATAGAAATCATCCTTTGACTCACAATATTATGTATCTCCCCCCTGCAGTTATGTCAGTAGTCCCTCTCACTCCATGTTCTCACTGGCTGCTGGAAATGATGAGAAAAATCAAAATGGGGAAATTTTGATTTTCTCTTTACATTATAGCCAAAGAAAGCACCATGTGGAAAGGTTATGGTCAGTAGCAATTCAGCAAAAGACACTATATGCTGAGGCTTTAAGGTTATACCTTAAGGTTTTATTTTGTATTGATGTTCGCTATTGGCATAATTAATGCAGTCAGAAAGGGGCACTAGTGCTCATTTCAAAGGCAGTCTAGCAGTTTTGCTTACAAAAGTGCTATTGCAAAGTCCCAGTGTTTTGGAATAAATCTGCTTATCAGCCTGGAACTAACGAATTTTCAGTATCTTGGAGTATGAATGTTGAAATTTAGCTTTAGACTCATATTATTAAAGGTCTCGAGCAATTTGCCTAATGAAAGAACATCAAAATCATATACACACAGCAAGTCCTGCCTCTGGTTTAAGACTGAAATAGCCAATAGTGGCTGGGGGGGGGGGGTGCTTTAATTTCAAGGCACAAATATTTGCAAGTAACATGGATACAATATTTCAGAATAATTAATTAAGAGCAATCTTTTAAAAGTAACACATAATTGACAAATGTGACTCTTCGGATTTGGAGGCATATTTTCAGCAGGATCCAGAATTTTCTGAGTTGAATTCCATTCACACTTTCTAAGTAGTGATAGTCCCTTTTCCTATAATCCATTGCTAGGGGTTGGAACAACAGCTAGTCAAGGGATTTTTTTCCCCTCCCGGGCCACTCCAGGGTCCACATAGACTACCTGTAGAGTTAACCTGTGTTTTAAAATGGTGATTTTAAACTGTTTTTCTAATTTGTTTTTTAATAACTGCCTCACTGGGGAAATGTGTTTCCCCTTCCCAGGGCGCTTGTGCCCCGCTGACTGTAAGTTTTGTATTATATTGTATTGTATCTGTAGAGTTGGGTTAGTTTGTTTGTTTGTTTTTTTTGATAGAAAAAAGAATCAATGTGGATATGGGGGTGGAGTGCCAAAACAATAGATTTCAGACCTACACATGACTTCCGCACTGTGATTTACCCACCTTGCCATATACCATACAAAATTCTGCTTTGCAGCATCAGGATACCCTTTATAACAATGGGAAAGATAGTATGTCAGGGGTTGTTTATGGGATAATGGCTGAAAAACTTTGCTCTACACCACTGCCTTTCACGGGAATCTACGCTGGATCCAAGCCACAAAAAAGGAGGGACCTTTCTAGAAGCAAAATTTGCGATCATGGACGGACAAGTTTGGATTCAAATCTTTATTTTTGTAGCATCAATTTTTCCCCTTCCTGCTTTTATTTTATAATTATGTATATAAACAAATGAATGTGTATGGGCACACTTGCATACACATTCTCAAAAAAATGAAATCAAACCAGCCATGAATAACTCTTTGGAAAAGCACTGTAAGTATAATAAACTCCAAATGCTAACTTAAGAAAAAGACACATGAATTTAGCAAATCTATGGCCAATGTTTCGTATCACTTCCATTTTTCAAAATTTTGTTTAAGCTCCTGCTTCCCACTTCACTTGAAATATGGTTACTTTTTTATAGCTAAAATCTACTTGCAGGCAATGCTGCTGTCTCTTAGTATGGCTGAATATGGCTGAGCAAACCTTGGCTTATTATAATATCTTCTAGCTCTCTTTCTGGCAAAAAAAAATGTCAGCAGCAAATATCAGAGAATCTGAAAATGTACCTTTCATTTTCATCCTCTCTGCTGTTTGTTGCCATCCACTTTATGAACCATATTTAAAACTGAAGGGATATATATATATATATATATATATATATATATGCATAATATATATATACTTATAATTTTTATATAAATTATTTTAACTCTACTGTATGTACAATAAAGCTTTATAGATCAACAATTCATTTTTTAAACCTCACAGTGAACCGAAGTCCTTAAAGAGATTATAAAGTGTGTGTGCTGCACTCATATGACTCATCTTGCGTATCTTTAAATTCTATCATAGCACTAGTAGCAATGTGCACCCTTCCTACACAACCTCCCAAGAAATGTGTCTTCCTTGTCCTGTAATGCTTCTACTCTTGTGATATAAAATGAAGTACATTACAAATCTTAAGTGGGCCCCTTTGTTGTAGTTGAACACCAACAAAGTTAGCAAAAATACTTTTTAAGAATACAGATTCCCAAATCCCCCATACAGCATGGAATTGTTCAAATAGATATGCTTTCAGAACTCAGATCAAGATCTATAGTATTTTTGCCCATCCTTAGCATTCACTGCATCCCACAATAGCCTAGGATTCAGGTTTGGTCAATGAAGACCAAAGATTCTCAACAGAAAAATTTCACTGATTCATCAAATTATAACATCAACTCATTTGGGCATCCCCTGGGCAACGTCCTTGCAGAAGGCCAATTTTCTCACACCAGAAGCGACTTACAGTTTCTCAAGTCGCTCCTGACATGACAAAAAAAAATAATCCACCGCATGATACACCATTGGTCTATGTACTACCAAACAAGTAGTTAGCAAACAAACTTTGGGAGCTATGTATGATCTCAAACTTGAACTTTACCCACTCCAGTCCTTAATTGACACAGGTCTTTGCAAGTGATTACTAGCTGCCGAAATATATAGTATATAACTTCCATATTACATATCAGGGAATTGATATCTTAAACTATTTTAAATGGATTTCACTTTCATTTCTTTTCCCCACAATAGCCTAGGATTCTGGTTTGGTCAATGAAGACCAAAGATTCTCAACAAAAAATTTTCACTGATTCATCAAATTATAACACCCCCACATTGTGGTGGAAAGCTATGACATCAAAACAGGTTGTGTTTTTTTTTTGTTGTGTCAGGAGCGACTTGAGAAACTGCAAGTCGCTTATGGTGTGAGAGAATTGGCCATCTGCAAGGACGTTGCCCAGGGGATGCCTGGATGATTTTTGATGTTTTTATCATCCTTGTGGGAGGCTTCTCTCATGTCCCCGTATGAGTAGCTGGAGCTGATAGAGGGAGCTCATCTGCCTCTCCCCGGATTCAAACCTGCGACCTGTCAGTCTTCAGTCCTGCCGGCACAGGGGTTTAACCCACTGTGCCACTGGGGGCTCCGTAGATGGTGATGGTAGATGGTGAGGTAGTAGATGGTGAGATGGGAAGAGAGCTTGGGAAAGGTAACATTTTTAGAGCAAGCCCATAGCTAGCATGGTACATGCTGGTAACATTTTCAGGAATTGGCTGTCATCAAGACACATGACCTTTTGAGATCCCACACATTTACCGGAGACCATTACATGTTCATATTGGATCCATGGTGCCTAATCTATATACCTGACTAGAGTCATAGCAGACATGCACACTATCCCATTGCAGTTTTTACTAAGAATCATAGTCTACCTTAGTTTGAAAGCAAGGTCTGGATTCTCCTGCTGATGGCACCGTTGGTTGCTGCTATCCAAACCAAGGTCTATAGAGCCAAAGTCTGTTATTACCCCTTTGGGATTTGCACACAATACTCTAAATACAATTTCTAGTTTGAGTTACAATACACCAACTATATCAAAAGGATCTCAGTTGACTTACTATTCAGCAACTGATTTAGTGGGTCTCCTTTAGCTCAAACCATATTGAGGCCACTGTCTGTTTTCAGATGCTGTGACAACAAGCCCTAATCTAGAGAAGAATATAAGAACCTACATAAATGGCTGAACCTTTCCTTTCTGTCTTAGCAATAAGTCTTCCATCCTTATGAATAACACTAAAGGATACATTTCAAAATTCAGGGAAATATTGAAAGCGGCTTGTGACAAGGCAAGTGGATAGGGTAGAGGGGTTACAGCTTGGAGAGAATGGAACAGCAGAGCTTAGAATGCTACATTTTAAAGGCTCCCACTCTCTGAATCCCTCAACTGTGGCATTCGAGGAGCTGGAGTTCAAAAAATAGTCCTGAAAGTAGTCCAAAAGTCCCACCTTGCTTGAAGACGTTCTCTTCAGTTCCAATGCTGTTTATTTAGTACTTGCAATGAAATTATTCCTTTCTTAATTTCTCTTCCAAAATGCTATTGATCACTCCATTTTAAAACAGCAGAGAGACTAATACTGCAACTTTATGCACCTTCACTCAGACGTAGGTGCTGTTAGATTCATCTGACTTATTTCTCAGGAAAAATGGGTCTAGGATACTGCCTAGACTTATGGTCATTGCGATGGCTTATCAAAGAGATGGTGGATTAATGTCTCCTCAGTTTATGAACCTGGTGGCATACATAGAGACACAATACTAGTGTTTAACAAGACAGCTATTGCATCTACTTTTTACTCATAAATATCCAGGAAATGTTGACTTGGCAGGAGCATTGGTAAGAGTTACTACTATTCACAGTGTTTGATTTCCCCCTCTCCCTTTATTCTACAGAATTAAGTATTTTATGTACATTGGAGCCAGTTAATGCCCTTTAGACAATTCTGTTTAGTTGTTTCATAAGCAAAAATGCCATTGCAGGAGAGATATGTGCCGAAAAGCACAGTCAAAACGATTTCATACATTTTTAAAATATATAGATATATATATATTTATAGCTATGAACCCATGTTGCAAGAACTCTCAGTATTCAAGAGGACTTCTCATCTGAAGAAAATGTTGACTTGTTTGTCCTCTTTAGAATTTGTTCTGGTTTCTTCATATTTTTAATATATATATATCTCTTAAACTATAAATTAACACTGCATAGTTCATTGTTCTTGTTTTGCTCTTGCTCTGAAAAATTATTGCAGTACAGTTAATTCCTCCATGGAATTCAGTATGGGGCAAAGAGGACAGGTGTGTGGGTGGTCCGTATAGGCCCAGGGGCCGGTCGAAGAAGTGCCGGAGGAAGTGCTGATGTCTGAAAGAGGGTTGCTGTTGGGGCCGTTCGAAGACTGAAGGGGGAATTTACAGCCACAGCAGCAGCTGCAGCGGCAGCAGCCAGTGGGTTTGGTAGGATCCGTGGAGCCATTGGCTTTGAAGGTTCCTTTGAAAATACAAGTTTTACCTGGAGAAAAAGAAGCAAAAGAAGAAGCAACAAGAATTGCTGTTTGTTTAGATTATCCACCCCCTCCCCCATTTCTTTGAATAAAATAAATACATTTCAGGCACAAAAGCAGAATAAAGGGTTTTAAGGAAAGTAACAGAAAAAACAGGAGTGGGAAAATAATTTTCATTTTGCATGCTCTGAACTTTTGCTATAGCAGTCCCAGACATTGGGGAAAATGGGGAATTTTTGAAAACTTGCCTAATCTATGTTTCTAGGAATATTTTTAAAAATCACATTTTATTATCCCCTCCCTCCCCCACCATAGTACATTTATTTTCAGCCTTGTTGTGTAACACAGCAATTTCTTTAAGAGTTAGGTTAGAATTTGCATGATCTCCCACTTATTTATTAAACTTTAATCACACCTTTCTTTCAAGATTAAGATGGAGATTTAAGGCCAAGGTTCTGTATCAAAGCATGTGCCGCAATCACATGCCCTGTGCTTCTGCCAACTCCTTGATAGCTACCTGGAGGAGGGAGAATAATAGAATCATAGAATAGGCTCTTTCAACACTATGATTATGATTCCCCTTCCCCCAGGTAGCCATCAAGCCCCAAAGATTCTGCCTTGGCCATACTGGGATAAAGAAAAGTGACATGGCAGCAGCTGACAGGACTCAAGAGTGTTAACTACCTTGCTTGGCATGAGGGTACTGCCCATTCAAATGAGAATTCTGTCCCACACTAATGAAATTTTCTTTTAGACCCCGCATTTCTAGACTTTCAGGGAGTAAGACACTGATTTTTCCCCCTTAAATAATGCTCTCATAAGAGAAGAGAAATGAGGTATCTCTTCCAGATCCCCTGTAAAGTATGAGGGACAGATTCCAGAATTCTCCAGCCATGCTGAATGAGGGATTCGCAGAGTTTGCACTAAAAAAAACCCAACATCCAAATTCTGCTTACAAGGCAACCTTGGCTTAGAAGAAATATAACCAGAATTATTCTTAAACACAGTTGTTTTACCATAATAGGAAAAGTCAGCTCACTAAGACACAAATGAAACACCGAACTACCATGTTTCCATCAATACAGTACCACTCCCGTGCCCATGGAACTGGTATCCAGTTATGCCTATCCACATCCAACAAAATGTGCTCTACCTAAGAATTTTGTATGGGTCTTCTAGGCAATTTTATGGTACGCTTCTGCTTGAAGTTACCATATACTCACATTGGAGGACCTGTATGGTAACTTACTATTATCTATGATTTCTTGTTTCCATGGTAAGTTCAGAAACACATTCCTTGTGGATATGAGAGCCATACAATATTATCATAAAAGACAATGCAGAACAATTATTTGCTTACCCCAAGTGGGTGCGTTCCCTTCTGGATTTTGTTGTAAGGACTGTATTTGGGTTTTGGGGGCTTCCCAGCAGCTCTATCTTTGTGCCTTCTACTGCTTATGTGCTGTTTAAAAAGAAGTATTCCTTGTTATTACAATTCTAGGAATAATATGGTTTCAATTGTCTTTAGCACTGTACGCTTCTGGCCACCTTTAAACAATTAGTTTGATATTTTGCTGTCTCACACTGATTATTCCCAATAATAAATCTGTTTCAGTTTCCCCATCTAATGTAGACAGAAAAAAAGTAATTTCTCTCATGTAAAAGGATCCAAAGAATTTTGCTGGTTTATCTGCAATTGGGAAAGAATATGATATGTTGGGTTAGCCAGGCCTAGTTCTGTAAAGAGTCTGAACAAAACTCCCTCAGGCAATCATATATATAAGTTGGATCAATTTTGATCTGAGACATGTTTCTGGGCCTTTCTTATTTTTATTCTTATTTTGAAAGCTATTTCATGAAGGTGAAAGCTCAAAACATTGGGATTAAAAAATGGCCTGAATTCATTGGTGAGTTCCAACTACAACAGACTCAATGAACCAGCTATTGAATGGAGAATCCAATTGCAGGTATACCCAACCAGTTCAAGTCAAAACTACCAATATGATTTAAGTCAATGACATTTTCATCCTTCGCAATCCTTTTATGAAGTTAAATAGTCTTGTGGTGTTCTGACTGTGAAATGCTTTCCTTGGCTGAACTGATTAGAAGTGAAAATTTGGCTACTGCTCTAGAATAGTTTTAACCTGACATCTTTAAATAAAGGGTGGGGTATAAAACATAAAATAATGAGATAAGAATTCTGAATTGTGTGCTATTTTATTTTTAAGATGATCATATAAAAATGTGAGTGAAGAAGAACCCGAGCCATTTTTTTCTGACTCTTCTTCACTGTAAAAACAAGCTGTGTCTCTCATCTGTCCAGTTACTAAAGTCACAACAGCCATATGCCTCTTTGCATCTGATCATCTGAGGTAAAAAAAATGATAAGCATAATAAGTGTCATAAACACTGTTTAGGACTGGGATGTGAGTTGCCTTTGTCTCTTTGCTGTTGGTTTTATCTGTTAGTTTTGACACAGTCCATCCATACGAATGAGTGGTTCTCTGGCTACTGCTTCAAATTACTCCTGATGGCTGTGGCCTCCATATGGTAAACAATTTGCTTGCAGCATCTCATTTTGTGGAGGAGTATCCTGCCAGGTCATGACCATACATCCAGTATTTGGAAGGTTCCTTAGAGGCATTTCACGCTCAGATAGTTGGCATGAATGAGCCATTCTACGTGGATGTGTCATTTTGTTGCTTCACCTGGCAGCTATCACTGGATTCTGAGGATTCATCTGTTTAAGACTTGGCATGCCTTTTTTTAGTGATGCCTCCAAAATTTGGGAGGGTGAAATTTCGACAACTAAATGACCTAGCTTGCTATGCTCAACTGGCTTCTTATATTGTTTCAATTCTTTTAAAACTCACATTGCACTTTAAACAAGAAAGGGAAAATGCACTAGGCATTTTTCTTTCCTATTGATTTATTTAGGTAGCAATGGCTATAGGAACAATGGTGAAGAGAGATGGGTTGGGAAGTCTCTTTACTTTCTTCCTCATTTCTCTCTAGCACTGAGAATATTTTCAAAAACCTAGCAAGGATGGATAAAATATCAATCTGAATGTGCTGCTATATCTTTAGATGATTTGAATTCAATACAAATGGGATTCTGAGATAATAAAGATAATATTCTAAGTCGCATTTTTTCAAATCAAATTAAACCAGAAGTTTTGTCAAAATTTGTGTGAACATTTGAAAATAACACTTGGACATTTGTGTAGAATGGCTCTAAGACTCAGTGTATGCCCAATTGCATCTACTCTTAGGATTTAATATTTAATAGATTTACTAAAATATTAAAACTCAATTGTAGCACATAATTTTATCTTGCCAGTTCATAGTGAAGAAAGATTTTTCCTTCATTTTTAAAAAAATCATGAACCAGGATATAATCAGGATTTATATTCTTAGTTTCTGCCACCATAGAAAGACTGGTAAGAGAGCATTCTTTTCAGACATTTGAGTCTCTTATTTGACTGCCGTTGCTAAACTTACTAATGTAGCTGTGCCAAGAAAAGAAAAGTTAAGGGAGGCAGAAAATCAATTAGTGAGTACTAAGAAAAGGCACTGCCTCCTGAGAATGGGCCCTTTCCACACAGTGATATAACCCAGAATATCAAGGCAGAAAATCCCAAGACATCTGCTTTGAACTGGGTTATCTGAGTCCACACTGCCATATATCTCAGTTCAAAACAGAAAATGTGGGATTTTATTCAGCTGTGTGGGAGGGGCCAATGCCATTAGAAGAGCAACAGGATTTCCAGTCTTTGGGAGAATCAGTTTAATCAAGCCCAATATCATACTTTTGTTGTCTAAAGGAAAATTCAACTATAAAAACAACCCACACACCTGAGAAAAGTATTTACTCTCCTACAGAAAGCACAATCCCACTCCCACATATTTGGTTACATAATACTGCTGAATGACATGACAGATGAAAGAGACAAAGCATTTTAAAGCATTTTTAAAGATTGTAACTTAGATAGCAATTTTCTACCTATGACAAGTTCTACAAAAAAATCTTTAGCAGGAGGAAAATGTATACTCAAACAAAATGAAAGTATTATGAACAACAAAAATCAATATGGCTCTGTAAAGATAAAAAGAACAAAATAAAAGAAAATACAGAATTGGAAGGCTACTTCACCCATCACTGTGACTAATGGCTTCAGGAACAAACATTAGATCCCACAGTTCGGCTGCATTCTGGATGCACCACTTTCTCATTTTGTATGTGCCCCATTTTTTGAAATCAGAGTATACTTTCATGCATAAATCAAAGGCAGGTTTTGGGGCCAAAATTGCAGATTTTGATATGACCTGTTGATGAGTCAAGGGTCATTCTGCAGAGGGAAATATGTCAACACTGCTTCAGGAGCCAACCTCTTCTAATCACCACCACTTTTCTGCCCAGATATTCAGAAAGGAATGAAGCAGCATCACAAATGAGAGAGTTGGTGCTTAATTTAGGTTTCCCAGGCCTTCACCTTATGCCACTAATGAGAGATTATTCCTAATTTTATAAAAGTTATAGGACAGTACTTGCATTGACCTATAGATAAATTGGCTTACGTTTTCAGTCGATTTTTGATAACATTGTAAGATGTACTCATGAGTATATATACCAATCGGTAGCAGTCTATTGCAATGTGTAAACGAGGACATCGTTATTGTCTTTGAATTTATAGGGAATTGGGTAATGAAACTCACATTCCTGTGGAGTTACCTGTTTAAGTTGTGTCTCAGAGTTGACATGCACATCACAAATTTCACAGTGAAATGTTTTGTTCTGAAGTCCTGTGTTTCCTTTATTTATGGGTCCTTTCCCTTTCACACCTGCCCGGGGAAAGGCTTTGATCGTTCCACTTCCATTTCGAGCTTCTAGCATAGTTTTGTGCTTTGTGCCTGGGGATATTAGACAAACAAAACAAAAGTCCTCTTAACAAGTTGCAGGCACCCCTCCATCATCCCTCTAGAAGTAGCTGAAGTGTCACCAGAGACATATTCTGCATTCTTCACATTAGTATGATAAAAACCAAACTCTGTGTAATATTTCATTAACTTGCATTTAATTACTGGATGACAATCAGGTACTCACTGAAGCAAGCTGCCAACAAATTGTATTGGTATGGAAGGTGAGACCTGACATTACATTAAATGGCTATCTCATTTCTATGACTACCTGGCATTGATGAAACTTGTACTGCCCTTGAAAAATAGAACCATGCTTTTGACAATGTTGGTCTGAGCTGCCACAGCTTTTGACAATGTGGGTCTGAGCTGCCAATACACTTTCAGATCACTTTCTAAACAGGAGGTTGAAATCTTGCTGATGGTACTTAAATAACTGGTGCTCTCTCAAAGGCACTCTTTCTGAGGAAGCTTGAACTATGTGGGACCCATTGAATGCAATTAAAACTATGAAATAATATCTTTATATTTCCTAAGATCCGTTTCTTACTGTGATTCTTCAATGGGAATATCTTTGTGGTGAATTGCATGCCAAGACTTCAACAAGAGGTGTTAGGCCGGCTTGGATTGTTTCATGCCTTTACATGTCCAAATAGTGGGAAGTCCCTAAGGCTCCAGGGTACCCTTTGTAGGAATGTAAACAATATTTGCAAGTGTTTTCACTGTCAATGGGGAAAGACATCTCCACAGAGTCTTACACATTATGAAAGTTTTGGTGAATTTTTCAGACATTTTGCAATTCAAAACTTTTCACAAAAATACTACTTGCACAAAATATTGCATTTTGAATAAAATATATATATTGCACAAAATATGTTGCACTTGCAGAAATACTTTTCCTGTAAAAATAAATTATATTTGCACACATCTTTGAAAAATAATCAGAAACTCTCATAGTATTTTCATTCCTATGCATAAGAATGAAAAAAGTATACCCCTTAAAGGAGTGGGACAAGAAGCTAAGCTATCTGATGCATTGCTTGTCCATTGCTTAGTATTCAATGTCATTGGGCAGTGGTGTACTAAAAAGACACAAAAGATAGTGTGATTTTACTGCATGAAGGGTGTGGATGGTGATTAATCTAACAGTGGTTAAAAACACTGAAATATATGCATGCAAACAATGCTATATTCCAAGTAACTGTGGGGGAAAATAATGCCATAGAATAACCTAATATTTAGAAATAACACTGACATTCCCACAGTTGCCATAATAGCAACTTTAAAAGTAGAACTGGAAAAATATCCAGGTTAATAGGGAATGTTCCAATGGAGGCAAACACAATGATTCTATACAGAGTGACGAATGTTTAGAAACTATTGGAAAGAATATGTCACCATGGGTGGCACATGTATGTCAATGTTTGAGGTTACTGAATCATTTTTAGTATTTGTGCATCAGAAAACTATTTGAAGTGGAAAAATTTTTGTTAGAATTAGGATCAATAATCATGTTGAGAATAGTGATGTAAAATGTTTGTACTTATAAAAATTGATTTGCTGCAAGTTTGCAGCTTCACAAGTGATTCCAGAATAACAATTCAAGATCACCGAGGAAAGTGAACTGTATTAAATTTAAGGAACCATAGAATCTTCTGACTGTTGTATATATTGCAACATTATAACTGTAGAAAACACTGATTTTTGTACAACAAAAATTTAAATATTTAGATAATGATTGAACTAACTGGCTTATTTCTTTGCAACTTGCAAAATCCTAACATTAGTTCTAATTTCAGCAGTTGCACTGAATAAATGAAACTTACATATGGTTGAATTCCCAAGACCCTTGAGTGAATGAGTCTGCTTTAGCCGATTTAGGCAAATAAAAATATGTCCAATTTCTAGTTATACTTCCATATTATTATAAACATCTGGATTAAACAAAGTCATTTATGGACTACAATAAGAGGTTCAACACAGGAAGAAGATGTTGAATTTGAATTATGTTTTCTCCATAAAAATGCAAATAATAATACTTTTGTATACAATGGACACTGGTATATTTGTTTCACTGAAACATCTGGATTACATTACAGCCTGACAGTTACCTAATTCTATAGTTGAATAATCTCTTAAAGTGCAAGATATATTCAGAAATGGAGAATTCTAGTTTTGAAGATAATGGAATTTTCTTAGAATTGTTCAATGAACAATGCAAAACATCTGCCAATTACATTCTATACGAATGCTATGTTGTCATATTTTACAGAAAATTTGGCTTAAGTTGTGACACCTAAATGCCATTCAAGAAATATATATTTCAGCTAATTAATTTTTTTCTTTGATTTATCCATGTGAAAAACCCCAAAAGCCAATTTGTCACTTATGAAAATTGCCCCATTCTCTGAGTTCACCTACATTGGCTTGTGCTTCCTGTTTTCTGCACAATAATATTGCTGAATGTTCAGCTTTCCGTTGGAAACAAATAGAAAGAGGTGAAAGAGGGCAAAAGAGCAGTCACATTGACCCAAAAACTAAGACTGGGGATGTAATTTAGGGAACTTGAGAAAATCTATCACTGATGTGAATCAGAATTCTTATTTTTCATTTTTGTGAAGGACTTTTTCCATGCCATGTTTATTTTTAAACAGTTAATAAATTCTGTGTAATAGCTGGTATTATGCCACTTTATTTTTCCCCCTCATGTAAGTAATGTAATATAATCAGAGGAAGATACCTGCAGGATTCTATAGTTAAGAAAGATGTTGCTCACCACTGTTGTGCGCCTCCAACTGTGAGGCAGAGTTGACTGCAACCTTGCATAGTGAACAATAAAGGAGCCGCTTGGCCTTCTCTTCCTCTGTCTCTCCCAAGGTGCATGTGTTGCTGCTAGTGGCTGTTGTGGGGAGTTTCTCTACTTTAGAGGTGATTTCAGTTGTCATGACACTGCTCTTCCGAATTTCAACCATTGTGGTTGTTGATATTGCTGGTGCCTCTTTTGCCGGGTCTGCTTTTAAAAGAAAAGAAGGCAACATGAAACAAACAACTTTGCAAACAATGTGGGATCTGAAACGACATGGGAAATGGCTTTCAGTGAAAAGAACACATTTCTAGGGATAGAAGTTCATGGCAGCAAATGTTATGTCATGGCAGGAGCAATGTTATGACAACAAAGCTTTACGATACTTTGTGATACACTGCTAGACTCTGGATTTAGCAACCCTTGCTCCAAGATATGTATTGCAAAGTTCACCCTCCCTAGTAATTAACTAGTAGAATGCTTCCGGAACATGGCCATAACAGCCCGGAAAACTCACAGTTTTAATTGTGTTGTACCCTACCTTGAGCCATGAGGAAAGCTATTAAAAACTCTGTTGAATGCAACAGCCTAGGCTTAGCCGGGGAAACACCAAAAATTGGGATATAGACTTGGGATGGAAGAACTGAGGTGGTCAAAGCTCTGTGGTTGATCGTGTCATTGTGCCAAATCCAGACTCACTAAAATGTTGATTTGAGGATTACATTTTACAGAGACCCTCATTTGATAGAATTTGTCAAATGCATTCTTCTTCCTGTGGGCAAGAAATGAAAGGGATCCTGTTTGTTGGGCATCAGCAAAGCCCAACAGAGACGTACTGTAGAATGTTTTCTCACACCCTTAGCATGGAATAGATCTCTGCATTTCTTTTGTAAGTTATTAGAATATATTCATTTTCTGCAGTCGCCACTTCTTTCTGTGATTCTCCTCTTGGAATTTTTAGGTTACATTTTCAGCATGATTAAAGTGCAAGCCAGCTCTCAATGCAGAGAGACAATCAGGTCTAACAACCTTAGAGGTGAAACAAAAATGCTGCTATAGTCAGGAGATATAATCATGCAGTATAATTAGAATAGTCAGTCATGCTCTCTAGGGGAAAGGCATGAAGAGTAGTAAAAGAAGAGAATAGACCATTTATTCATCTTTTTAAAACTCCCCTTGCCCTTTTCCACCATGTATCACCTGACTAATTAATTCAACTGATGCAATTTGACTTTTAAAATTACTTGCTGGGGAAAGGAACAATTTTGATGCATAGGCTTTAAAAAAGAGACCCCTAAAATAATACTTCAAGGTTTTAAAACACAAATACAAATATTCGTGTATTTTTTTTATTGATAGGGTACAAACGAAAAGAAAGAAGAGGCAGAGTTATTACTTGCTCAGCCATCACATCCCTTTATCTCTTTATCTCTAATGTAACATCCAGCACTAAAACAATCAAGGATTTTCAAACCCCAAGCCAAGTTGATTTTGATAACTTGTAGATGCATAATCAGCATTTGTTCATAGCCCTTGAAAAAAATACTGTGGTGACTCAGAGTTCTGAAAGTAAAACAAAATTACGATTGATGAAATGATTTTTTTAAAAAAAACACGTGGATGACCTCAATTGTGCTATTTTCATTCTAATGGTCTGAGCTAAATATTCTGTCTTGCAAGCATCACTGCTTTTGGTGCAGCTGTAACAGCTAATTCTACAAGGAATGGAATGCTAACATCCAGTGAATAAGTATACTTAAAATTCACAACACTTTTTGTTTGTGTTCTTAATCTCAATATAAACAACAGTACTTAGGAAGTTTGTAAAAGAGAAAACCTTGAATAAAGTGGCAAACATAAATCTAAAATCTTGTTTTCATACTACAATGACAACAGAATGTAATATATAATGTTGTAGATGTGATATGTTCCCTTAAAAACACAAGTCACCAACTAAAATTGGATTCAACAAATGAATTATTTAAGATGGAGAGTCAACTGTACAACACCACATCTTACAAAATCCTCTCTAAAGAGCTTTCAAGGAAGACCTGAAAAAATTACACAATTGTTCTGAGAATTCTCCACCAATGTACAAAACCAAATTCAAATGGGTCATTACGGATGTGGGATAACTATAGACCAACCTCCCATTCTAGGATAGAATACAAGCCATTAAGAATATCACCCTGAATTGGGCTACAAAAGCCTTGGCCACCCATCTCTACCACTTTGTACTTACTCAATACTTTTGGGAATAATAAATTCTTCCAAATCAGTGACACTGTCACGAACACCTACATGGTGGCACAGTATGCAAACATTGTTATAGCTCACCTGGAACAAACCCTTTCTTAGCATATGCACTCCAAAATCTCTCCATAATTTCTTGATGGGATCACATAGAAAGCAACTGAGAATTTCCTCTAAAATTTAAACAATTTCCATGCACGCTTTCTTCATGCCACCATGCAAATTCACAATGGACATCTAAGCACCATTCTCCATCAAAAACCCACTGAGCACTACCCATATTTAGACACTTCCATATTTGCCACCCAGAACGCGAATCTATCATCCATAGCCAAGCCCTTCTATACATCTGAATTTTCTCAAACCCACAAAGACTTGACACTTTTCTATTTACATCAGGGATTTGTCAAATTGTAATACCTACCAAAGCAGGAGGTAAAGAAACAAATCAAGGCAAGGTTAATATAGGATTTACTACAACACAAACAAAAAACCCAAAATGACAGAATGCTCTTAGTGGTCACTTACAATCCCCAACTAAAACTGCAGAAATGCATCAACAATGAGCTACAAGGAGTTCTGGAAAATAACAGAGCCCTATCACAAGCTCTGGGAGGCAAGTCTTCATTGGCCTATAGACAGACTCCAAATCTTAAACACCTATTTGTCTATAATGGCTATATTTGTTGAATTTCATTGATGCAAATGGGAGATAATTATATATCAGTCCATTTTTTAATTATTTACCAAAAACTGTAAATAATACAGTTCAATGGGAAATAAGGTTAAATGGTTGAACTAAACTGAGTTTCTCCTAAACCTAGTTTGGCCTTCTGATTGACCATCCTATACGTGATCTTTGCATTGTAAGAAAGCAAGGAGAAAAGGACAGCTATTTGGTTAATGTATTGTCTAAGGCTTTGGTCAATAATAAGACAATTTTTGGTCAATGCAATCTTTTGAAAGAAAGAAGACAAATGAGAAAAACAACAACAACCAAAGAATGCAACCATAACCTCACATTCAGAGTTTTGTTCTGTTCTGTTAAAGCTGATTTGACTCTGTCCTGAAGTGTTTTTTTAAAAAAATAATTAAACACAGCTTTGTAATGAAATCTGCATTGTATTTTAACTGTCAGTCCCTCCAGTTTAACATACAGTTCATCAATTCTGAAAGAAATTAACTGCATAGACAGGATGCCTACATTCCCACTGAAATTAATTGAACAAAACTGGCAGGAACAACATTCAGAGGTGGAGAGCTGGGTGGAAAAGAGCAAGGCAGGAGAGTCTAAAGCAATTTATGAATTTGAAGACTTTCTGATAAGCGTTGCATAAAGAAAGATAAGTGCAAAAGAGTGGGGAAAGGAGGAGGAGAACCAATTTATTCTGGATCTATTTTAAGCAACCTTGGTTTTGACTAGATTTGGAAGCTGTCCTTTCAAGACTATAATATAGATTTCTCCTCAGCGAGGCAGAAATAGAAACCACTTTCAGAAGCTATGAATGAAAGGTTCTCTGCTCAAGGAGCTTTGGGGGAAAGTGTTGCTGGCACAAGCTGCTGCTCTTGCCATTTAATTAATGAGCCTTGTGTAGTGAAAGAAAATTCAATTTTAAAATCAGGACAAAGGACAATGATTTGAGCTATAAAAGCTGGGCTCGCAATCAGAAGCCAAGCGAGAGGATCATACTGATTTTCCTCTCAGCTGCTCTGTGAAAGTAACACATTTTTGATTTGGACTCTGACTTCAAGGTTAAATGCAAGGTTAAATATCAAGTTGAAATTGGGGAGGAGTATTGTGATATTAATCATGTAAAATGTTGCTTTTAAGTAAAGAGGTTAATCATGTAAAGTGTTGCTTTTAAGGGAATTAACTGGGCAAAACTATGGTGATTTGAACATGTATAAAAGTGTTGATATCAAATATCTGTAGAATGCCCATTCTTTCTCAACTACAATAGAGTCTCACTTATCCAACCTTTGCTCATCCAATGTTCTGTATTATCCAATGCAGTCTGCCTCCCGCCTGGATCCACAGCTGTTTCAATACATTGCAATGTTTTGGTGCTAAATTTAAACTATAAGCAAATTTCACACCAGAAAACGTTGTTGTTGTTCATTCGTTCAGTCGTCTCCGACTCTTCGTGACCTCATGGACCAGCCCACGCCAGAGCTCCCTGTCGGCCGTCACCACCCCCAGCTCCTTCAAGGTCAGTCCAGTCACTTCAAGTATTCATCCATCTTGCCCTTGGTCGGCCCCTCTTCCTTTTTCCTTCCACTTTCCCCAGCATAATTGTCTTCTCTAAGCTTTTCTGTCTCCTCATGATGTGGCCAAAGTACTTCAACTTTGTCTCTAGTATCCTTCCCTCCAATGAGCAGTCGGGCTTTATTTCCTGGAGGATGGACTGGTTGGATCTTCTCGCAGTCCAAGGCACTCTCAGCACTCCTTCCTCCAACACCACAGCTCAAAAGCATCGATCTTCCTTCGCTCAGCCTTCCCTAAGGTCCAGCTCTCACATCCGTAGGTTACTACAGGGAATACCATGGCTTTGACTATGCGGATCTTTGTTGCCGTTATCGTGTATTGAACTGCCTTTTCTGTCGATTTGTTGTAAAACATGATGTTTTGGTGCTTAATTTGTAAAATCATAACATAATTTGACGTTTAATAGGCTTTTCCTTAATCCCTCCTTATTATCCAACATTTTTGCTTATCAAACATTTTGCCGACCCATTTATGTTGGATAAGCGAGACTGCTATATAACTTGAAAAAATATTTAATTATTGCATCTAGTTTGCATTGTAACCTATGTCATTGTAATTTGACACAAAAAGACACAGGAAAACAAATACATCTGTAGGCTTCACTGGAAAGCATTGTAGGTATTTCATATCACAGACAATATCCAGCAGGTTTACATGACATTTGTGCAACCATATTTTGTACGAAAGTATC